ATTTATTATTATATATATATATATATATATATATATATATATATATATATAATCAATATGATTCAGTTTATATTATTAGTTTAACAAAAAAATATTAAATATTGACATGTCGCTGTCATTAAATAATATATTGCTAAGATTTTAACTTTACATTTTAAATTATTTTTATTTATAATAAAAATTATTGGAAAGTGTTATATAAATATGGGGTATTCTGTAAAAACAATTGCAAATTTACATATCTATTTACGATCAGTGTCCCAGGATTGAAGTTTATTGAAACATTTTTTAGAATAAAATTCCTATAACATTAACGTAACCGCATTTATGTTAGATGCCTGATTTTATAAGGAATTAAGGATTTTATAAGGAATTTCGCTACGCCTTCTTTAATAAGAATATCAGCATGAAAGAATACCGAAGAGGAGAAAGTAAACTGAGATAGTTTTTTCCCGGCGATGTAAAGCCGGTTAGACTAACATTTAAAATACCTGTGCAACGTTTTCCCGGAGCAGCGCACCGAAAACTTTAAACAAAGATTTATCTTCCGCAGTCGGTCAGACTCGAAGCGAAAAAGGACTTGAAGAACGCAGTCGCATAGAAGTTCCGGCGGGCGAGAACTTCCCGTCCGCGCGGGAACTTCGTTTACTAACGTAATTTGCGGTTACCAGTGAAGAGGTCCGTGACTGTCGTTCGCGCTTATGTAGTGCGATCACGATCCGTGGTGTTCGTAATAATAGGGGAATAGTTGGATACATACCAAGAATGCATTTTAGCGCGACCGGTAGTTTCATGGTAGATCATAAGTCTGGAAGCTATCCGACAGTTTACGTAAGACAGCATTCACACGGGTCCCTGTCTACCTGACCGGATTACGCGTGTCGAAGTCAGAAAGAAGTTCCGCAAAAAGAACTTTTTTTGTGGACTTCGAGATATTTCACGGAGGTGGCAATTAGCGTCGGTGGTTTTAAAGATATAAGTATCGCATTGTTTTAAATCGAGAAAAACTAATAAATTAATAGTTTATTCATTTTAATTATAGATATAACAGTTATTTTAATTATAGATATAACAGTTATTTTCTTAAACCATTTGTTATAGATAATTAAATAACAGCAATTAAAGTTTTTTACATTGTTCACTACAGTTCATAATGAAGCTACTGCTTTTTTGTATGTATTCTTTTTGCTTGATTGTCCTTTTTGCTTGATAATTACGGGCTACGGGTAAAAGAAAACAAAAAATGTACTGAGATGAATGCACCTAGAACACGCGCGAACAATAAAAACAGTATTAATTAACAGTAGTAATTGAAAATTTTTAAAATTTTTTCATGAACATGAATATATGTTATATTCAAACAATTTGAATGAGAGCATTTAATAAATATATAACTATATAAATATATAACATAAATATAATAAATATATAACATAATTTAATATATTTTGTTATATCGAGATTTCTAGACAATATATTTTAGTTAACTATTATATATTATTGCTTATAAAGTGATGAAGTTTACATACATCTGTATATAGCAATTCTATTTTGAATAAAAAAATATTTAGCTTATTTTTTGTCCGAAGGTAACTCATACTTTGCACTGCATAAGAAGTTTCACATAAACTATTTTGAAACTTATTTCTTCCTGGGGAGGATAAATTTGAATATTTTATCTTATATCAAAAATCATCGGTCCATAAACTTCTTTAGTAAAATGTTTTCTTTAACATATCTTTTCTTTTTCCTACAACACGCAATCGTTATCCTTTATAGTTGTGGATCTTGTAACTCAACTCCGGAAACATCATAAAGCAGGCAAGAATTACCTATACCCATAACCATCACGAAGCACTTCGTGTTGAATAATACTATTTAACTTTTGCGATTTAGTAATCGGGCGGAGATACATTTATGAATATAAAACGTGCGCGTGTATCCTTGCCCAAGGGACAGGAAATTACATAGCTTTTCTACGCCAAGCGAATTTTCAGATTTAAATTCTCATCATGCGGAATTTTATAAACAGCGAAATTTACGATACGCATGAGTGCATTTATTAATTATGTAAATTTTATTGATATACTTAAATTTTAAAAATATATCAAAATTAGAAGTATACATATTTTTTATCATTAATGTAATGTAATGTGTATTAATGTAATGTATATTATTAGTCATCTATGAGAAACTTAAAGATATAATTATGATAAATATATGAAAACTTTGTATATATAGTTTAACATGGAGTTATGTATTTTGATTTTAAAATTATATATGTGCAACCATCGATAAGTCATATATGTATATATTCGTGAACATATTTTTAAAAACATTATTTTAGTTGTAATGTAATATTAATTGTAGAAGTTATTAATACTGATCTCATCAATCAATTATTAGTATTAAATAGATATTGCATTATTTTTTTGCACATCTATATTTTTGGAAACGAAATGATAACGAAAAGAACAATGCTTCTATTCGAAAAATGAGTTCTTCTAATTTTAATTTTAATATCTTTTAGAAGATTTCTCTTCCGATTTCCTTATGCTTCTCACATTTTTTTCTTTTTTCTTTTATCTGTTTTTCTATTTTATTGACTTTTTTCTTGCTTTGGAGAACATTACCAAAGATTCTCTGATAACTTCGCTCGCTTTCTACCTCCGTTGTATTCCAGAATTTATAAAGAAAATCGTATCTGCGGTGATAATCGATAAAATAAATGTTGTTTAGGCTACACCAATTGATTTCAATACTCTCTAAGATACTGAGTATAATTGTTTATCTCTCTTTTTTTGGAAAGATATAAAGATATTTATTGCGTTTGAACTGTAAAATATTTAATTAAAGCTTGTTTGCCTCTTAATTTTTTAAAGGGAAGTACATTCTGTTTTTATAATTTCTGTTAGATTTTAGAATAGAGTTTTATTTACAATTTTTCATGGTGTTTGTGTGTGTGTGTGTGTGTGTGTGTGTGTGTGTGTTGCGCGTGTGCACTGGGCGTGTTCTATTCATTTTTAAATATTTTTGTAATATATATAATATATAATACATATGTATGTATGTATGTATGTATGTATGTATGAATGACGTGATAAATTATAAATAAAATTTTATATTGAATTTATATTGTGTTTCTGATATTATATATTTTACTACATATTCAGATTTAACTATTATCCATTGAAAGATTTAAGTCTAATTAGCGATAAAGTCTCTCTATAAGTGCTAAAAAATGAAATTAATTTTCTTTTAATTATTTTACACTTATTTTATCAATTCAAAATAATGAAGATATAACTTAAAACATTTATAATAATTCTAATCGGGAGTAATCATCTCGTATTTAATAACAATTGTCTAGGCGTAAAAGACACACAGATGAAAATAACATATGACATACAGTTCTCCAGAAATGGGATTAGTGTACGCCATTGACAATGGAAGCGTATGTTGCGGATGCACGGTATTGTATAGAAATGCAATTAAGCTCATTTATTCATTAGCTCGAAATGCGATTTATGATGTTTAACGCGGGATATCGTCAATTAACGGACTACACGTACAAATTCAGCAAGTTTACTATTTTCTATGATATTACATGTTGCGTGAAAGTGCGTTATCAGGTGTTTACTATGCGATCCTTTCCAGTCGCATTTGATGATTTATCGCTCGACCGTGTGCTGAATGTAAATTACACGTGGACACATCCAGAATGGAATATCGACATTTTGCGGACCTTTATTGTATTTTGGCAAGACACGCCTCGTGATCTTCGTGATTTATATATACGAGAAGAAATCATATGAGACGTATATACTATATATAGTATGTGCATAAAATATATTTTCTAACAGCGTATATTTTTACATACGAATAAATCGTATCGTAAATGTGTATTTTTCAGTACTCTGATGTGATTTGTACAGTATAAAATAGTTAATGCTTTCTAAAAATATGAAAAAGTTTGTTCCTTGCATTTCTAAATTAATTTCGATGGCTGAATATATATTACTGTACATGCTAAATCTGATATTTATTGAAGGAATGTCTTCCACGTTTATTTTAAATACAAATATTAAGTATTTAATTGCTTTACGAAATCAGAAATAGCAGCAGTTCAATCAGATTATTAATCGGCAAATGTCAACTCTGCTAAAAAACATTGTATCCTTTGGAATTTCATCGGCATTTGGCTGTTCCTGCATATCGATTTTCGATCGCAGGAACTACAAGTTTCTACTCTTTGCAAGAGGACGGAAAGTAATTTGGAGCAAACAATATCCGACCTGTATAGGCCACGTAACAAATTGAATTTCGAGTATTACGTCTGTTTGCTTAATGCCTGTCACAATATGTTTTCACTGTGATGAGTGAGAATTATTTGCGAGTAATTGACGAGGAAGGGTTGCGGTGAGCAATAAGCAGATACGTCTCGAAATCTTTTCTATTTTTTTTTTGTTATATGACAGCAGTACTTTCGTAATTGAATTACGATGTAAATTTAAGGATATATTTATCGATTCTGATCAAAGATAAATATATGCTTATTTTTAATTTACATGCTAATTTATATGCTAATTTAGATTTACATTTTTCACCATTAAATGTTTATAATTATTAAATGTTTGCAATATATGTTTTATAAGATAAAGAATATGTGAGCTTGTATATTTTTCTATATATTGAAGGTTATAAATTAAACAAAAAGACTTTTATGATTTATTTTTATGACCGTTAATATACGATTTACAAATTTAAACAAGCATTTTTTAACATTAATGTAACTTAATTAAATCTAATATAGAAGTCTATAAAAATATAGGCAATGGATTACACGATGAATTTTCGCAAGACTATTTCTTTATTCAAATCGTTTTCCTCGGATATTAACAATTCAATGTTGCCGGTTATTAATTAGCTGTACTTCCTTGAAAGAAGTAATCATTTCCTTCAAAGCAATTCTTCAGTCTGTTAATTGTGAGATTGACTAACTCATCGAGTTTTCATAACAACTTTAAGGCCACTTCGCAATATTGAAAGGCTTTTATGAAAATGACTTTGTTATGAAACTAGCTGTAAAACTAGACGAGTGACTCACCGTGAAAAACTGAGAGGAACGAAAACGCTAAAGTACTTGACCGATCTTTTAATGAGTATAGCGTAAATTAAATGTCAACGATTACTCAATAAGAATAATGGATATAAAAAAAAACAAAGTATTGCATGGTATAAAACAATCGAGTTTGATGGGGAGGTAATAGGTCCGGTCTTTATCAAGCAATTAAAAATAATCATCATGATGGTGATCATGATCTTGTTGATGATCCTTTCGGTGGCTGTTATGCACTTTGGCGTGAAATCCGTCCTTGCCCGCACGGTACTTCACGGTTCTAATATTGCCGTCTGGTTCCTTCACAGTATATTCTCCAAACACCTCCGAACCTGCAAAGCATCGACATACGAGTTATCTGTCTTGCGTTGCCCCACGCAAAGCTGGCACATTCGGGACACGAGTTATCGCTCTTTTTTATGGAAACGAATTGAGTTTTAGGCGAATACGACGAAATGTAAAACTACGCTCTCCATAACCAGGTATATATTTTTCATACATAATTTGAAAAGGAATTTAAAATGTTTCGATTAAGAAATTAAGTAAATTTATAGAATGTTGTTAGGATTATTTTAACCTATTTGTATCAAAAGTACTTGAAACTGTTGGAAACACATGCTTTCGTATATTTGGAAATTTATTATGCATTTTTTATTTTAAGAATAAAAGAATAAATAAAGATATTAAAATTTACACAAAAATCTCGTATTTGCACTTCACTTGTTAAGTTTATTTATTTGCAAAAAAATTTGAAATTTATAAATATAGAAATTATATAATATAAATATAGAAATTAAAAACATATTGTATAAGTGATTCCGTTTATATGATTGATGACTGATAATGTATTCATTAAGCCAAAATTCTATTATTTTATGTAGTATAATATGGATTTTATTTATAACTTTATAATACAACTGATAAGTGTCAAAACATGTCTCTCATCAAACAGAAAATTATTTAAATGAGATTCATCAGAAATAATAATTGATGAACTACAATTTAATTTAACGTTTCTATGTATTCGCGTAATCCTCACAATCGCGAATTTCTGTTAATACTTCATTGAAATAAATTTCTTAATAATATAATCGGTTAGATGATAACATATTTTATGCACACTGTTAAATTTAAATTATACTCTTGCTTTAAAGTAATTTTAAAACAGCCGAGATTTGTAATTGGTCTTAGTTATTCTAATTAGTTTTCGCATTGGCGAATACGTTTACAGCTGCTCAGAGACTCTTCTATCAATAGCTGCTATCTAAGCTTTATATGGTTATAAACTTTTCAGCCGGTGTGCGTCTGCCTTTGAAGGCAGAAATACTGAAGCGGTTTTTTAGCAGCACTTTTATCGTTCCTAACTTTTCTCTCGGCGCGTTGCTACGAAATCTCTCGCTCCAGTTAAAACTTGACGACGCTCGATGATTTCGTTTTATATAGAGAAAGTCGTGCTTTGTGAAAATACCATTACGAAATTATAAAAAACTAGACCTTTAAGAACGATTGCTTTGATATTTAAAAAATTTTTTTATCTTGACAGAATTTACTCATCTTCGGTCGAGTGTTCGAACTACGATTATTGTGTACAACGAGGCAGACTGATTTTAAAACTAGAACTCATATTGTAAATACATAAAATCTGTACAGATAATTCTACTTTAAACACATTACAAAACTAAAGAATAACTGTGCTGAAACGTAGATTTTATTTTGTAGTAGATATTGGGAAAAACAATAACAATTTTTTCTACGTAACAAACGTAATATTGAGATTATAGGGAGGACCCGCGTGAGCTTACTATATGTCTTCGAAATCATTTTTTCAAAATCGCAAATGACATTAATAAAATATTCTTAACACCGTCGATCGTTCGTCCGACGAACGATGAAGCTTATATAAGTCAAATCAAAGGAATTACCATGCCGCGCTTTCCATTGCGTATTCCAAGAGCAACATTATAAAATTGCTCAAGCAAAGGTCACGTTGCCACTTTTATTCGCACAATCAGTCTGTCCTACGTTCACCTCGGTACATTTGTCAGCTTTTTCTCCCTCAGAGCTCGGCATCGCGATTCCGCGTACGTAAGTAGGTTATTCTTATTCTCCCCACTCGCGGGTACGTACGAGATGACAAGAAGGATCCTCCTAAAGCAGAGGAGATTAATCTTCATTCAAACTACGCAAACCTACCATCCCTTTGCTCCTTTTGACCGTGATAATCGCCCGTATGGTGATCTTCGATCCCGTATGAAAAGGTATAATGTGGATGAGCGACGTAGTCCTCGTGGGAGTGTCCGTCGTCGTCATTCCAGATGATTTCGTGCTCGTTGCCCAACACAGGACCATGGAAATGTTGAAAAGAGTGTGCGTGTCCTTCTGGCTTTGCATTGATCAGAAGCAAAGTCGAAAGCAGTAATACGGATAGGAGCTGACAAGAAACATGTTGAGCTCATTAATCAAATTATAATTCATGTAAATTACACGTTACAAAATATTAAAATTTGAAAGACAAAATGTTATAGTATAAGGCAAATTAGAACAGAAACAAATATATAGTTAGAAAAGCAAGAATAAAGTAATTTTGAAAAAAATTGTTATTAAAGTAAGAACTATAGAAATTTAGAATTAGAAATTTTTATTAGAAATTTTCAAAAATGTGACGATTATGGAATTGATTGACAGAAGATAAAAAAGTCTGTGAAATATGGAAGGACAAGAAGAAAATAGATAAAGAGAGATTCCATAACTCTAATAAAATAAAAAGGAAAATTAATCAAATTATTAGAAAATAAAGAAAAAAAGAAATAAACTAGATAACAATGATAATTAAGAAAATTAAGATATTGCTTTTTTAATCAAAAATATAAAATGTATTTTTTCAATATTTAGTACATAGTTTTAACTATTTTATATGTAGTTAAAACATACAGTCTCTTTATATATATAAAATCTATTATTTAAACATTTATTGTTTATTTTCTATTTTACTTTGAAAATATAACATATTTTATTATTCTTGTTAAAACACATTTTTCGCAAACGGTAAAAAAGATAAATAAAAAACTTTATTTTTATATTTTTATATAGGTTTTCATTGAGACTATTATTTTTCTATATTTTCCTCATACATATAGTTTCTTCATAGATATTTTTTCCTTTTTAAAATTTGCAATTTTTGTTTAATTAAAGTCAATCCAATATTTGCGAAAAAATTTTTCGGTTAAGAAAAGTGTGAAGAACTTCTCACTTTTATACAACATACGGCAAGAAATAAAAAGATAGATTTACTAATAGATTTTCTAATCTTGACCGCAAGAAATCAATCAAATTCCAAATATTTCTCCTTTCTATTGTACGACGATAAAAGTGTGCTGACACATGCGGTTTTAACAACTTTCTCCGAAGAAGCGTTTAAGGACGGTGAGCGGTCCATCCGAGGAATGACGCGGGATAATCGCACGATATGCACTCACTTCGGATGCCATGGCGCCAATTACCGTCGCAGATCGTTCCCTTTTGCGCAAATGCTTGATTGATCCGCGCGACCCGCGATCGTCCCAAAAACTGCGCGATTCGCACGATACCATTGTTCCTTTTATAGTTCCGCTTTTCAAGTTCCCTCTTTGCTTAATTCTTCTTTGGATCCGTGCCCGAGAGTTCGGCTAAGCGCTCCCGCGGACGGGTTACAAAACACAATTATTCAACCGGTCTGGCCGGCGCAAAAAGCGCCGCGATGCTCGCTCAAGCGCGCATCGGCCAATCCCGGACTAATGGAGATCCGCTCGTTGCGGAAGAAGAGCGAAAAAATGGATCGCCAGACTCGTTCGTTTCTTTCGCGCTGCGACACGCGCGTATCGATCAGGATGCCCGCGATCGAACGCCGTCACGCGCGACAACGCTCACGTCACGATGCCGGATTTTGTCCCGGCGCAACCGAAAAACTCCACTCCCCACGGTCCATTTCTCTTAATCGTCTCTTTCCTTACGCAAGTTACCGTTTGATAAACTGGGAATCGAATCGATGTAGGTGACGGTATTGTAGTAAAAACGGAGATCAAGAAAAAGAAATCGTCCAGCTGTCCGTTGTGAACTAATTAAAAGCACTTGTTGTATTTACGATTATATTTATAGTATTTATAAAGATATAGATTTAGGAATGAAACCTTTTAATGATGATATTTCAGTGTAATATTCGGCTAAATTATATTTTGTATGGAGAAATAAAATAAATTTTAATATTAAAATTTACTAAGTTTATCAAACGTTTTCTGTCAATTTAATATCCAATTGTAACTTTATGTCTATTAAATACGGATCTGAATGAATCTCATAAATTTTTTTATTTAACGTTGAGTAAATCGATCGATCTCTCCTAATTTTCGAAAAAATTCAGATGTAGAAAAATTCCAACGCTTTATGTCGTGCGGATAAAATAACAATGTATTGAAAAAATTTGCAGGACATTTGATACTGCTGAGTGGTCCTCGGGTATATTAACAAAAAAACGGAAGGTTCCATTTGCTCTTTCGTGATATACAGAAGGCTAGCGCGAAACGGAAGGGCGAGTAAAACGGGAGAGAGGAATAGAAGAAAAGGGGAGGGAGGGGATTGGTGCGCAGGGTGCAGGGACGACGAGAGGACAGATTCTGGCACACAATGTGCTGGAGCGGCGGAAGTGCTCGAAGAGGCGCTCAGGTTTTGAGTTATGACACTTTTTGAGTCGAGGAGTCGCATTGTGAATGGCGCATCCGGGTCCGGCGTAATATCCTACCTCGATCTCAGAGCCGGGGACTTGGCGATAAATCTGCCTTAAATAAGATTTGCCGGCGACACTCTGGCGAAATAAAAGGCGGAACGGAGGCGGACGCGGGCTGTAGGATGTCAGCTTGTTACTTCTTCGACTTTAGCCCGTTGATGCGCTTCGTTCGCCGGTTCATGCCGGAGTTAATGAGTAGCCTGGAGTCTTCGTCTTCATCCTAATTGCAAACGCGCTACGGCAACAGCAGTTTCTTCGCCCTCAATTTCTCGTCTACTGTGATGACTCTTACCACCCGTATAAAGGAAATGACGAAGTGCACCGTTGAGATCCTCTTTTTACGAACCTTCGCATTCGAAGTTTACTCGTCTACCTCCGGCGAATAAATTATATACGTAAGGAGGTGATAATGTAAGCAATGATAAGAGTGCTTCTAATTGTAATAAAGTAACAACCTTAACAAATATTATATAATTTTAATAATATGTCTTTTTGTATGCAAAAATTTATTAATAATTAATATATATTTTTAATATATGTTCTGTAGTTAATATCATACACACATTATTTTTTAATAATAATAATTCCTATTTAATGTTATACATATTGGTGTTGTCCATATTACGTTTTATAAATTGTAATTTAATCTCAATTATAATCCCTATATTCAAATAATTTGTGTGTGATATACCAATTATCATTAGCTTATTAATATTATTATTATATATTGCGTCATAAAATAAACCCATTATTCTATTAATCTTAATATCGGATATTATATTGTATGTTTTCCGAGTACACATATGTGACATGCATACATGCATATAATTCGATTTTTATATATTTATCTTGTAATTTTTTTATTAAATTTACAAGTTAAGTTTACAAGAAGTCTTTTATTTTAATAGTTAATTATTCTATATTATAATATAAATACTTTTTTTACTGAGTAAAATTCTTTTTAGGAAAAATTGATTGTAGATTGGCCAAAGAATTTTCAGATGATAATATTGTAAACGACATTTCCTGTATAAGTCCGTTTATTTTCTTTTACTTTATTTGTAACTGAAATGTGTTATAATTAATTAAAAATTTGTTTCAAAATAATTAATGCTCATGGAGCGAAAAAATTCACAATTCCATATCTGGTGCATAAAATGGGGAGTTATCATATCATGAAAACATTGAATAAATGCTGCAGAACGAAAACGACAGCAGCTCTGCGATTGCGTATTATGTATATAGTTTCTCGAGTTTTATAGTCTCTTGGAATTATGAAGTTGCATTGTGAAAGTGACAGCAATAAATCAGGCTCAAGATTAAATTGTAGGAAATATGATTTGTTGCTGACGTAAAATAGCGAGCGGACGCGAAAAGGAAATTCCAGTAGTTTATGTCTAAATTTATGTTGACGTATGTGCTTTTTCCACGATAATATGCATTAATTATTTACATTGCATGTTTTTATAAATTTTTGTTTGCTTTAAAGGCAATGCCGCGCATAAAAATTATAATATCGTAAAAGCAACTCAAGCTTCAATTTCTAAATAATAATTTTTCATATCATCGATTATCAATATTTAATATTACTTTAAAAACATTCTTTTTTCTTAAATATATAAATGAATATGATAATAAAAATATTTAAAAAAATGTTGCATTAAATTTGAAAATTAATATATCTAAATTATTATACTTAAATATACTTATATACTATATACTTAAATAGAAAAAAAAAAATAAATTCATATTTTTGCAAATTAATAGAATATCTATAATCTATAAAGCGAAAATTATAATTTATTCTACATAGCATTGACTTTTACGGGAAACGAGATTGGTGACAATCAACGTTATGTTCTGTGCAAGGTGTATAAACGATGTAATTCGGCATTGACCATGACAACCACACGATTAGTAAAGTCTCATCCACCACCGGACGCGATAATTGTCATTTCATTTCGCGGACAATTATTGGCGTATCTTCGGTGCGGACACGTCAGCCGCATTCACGTGTGCAATCCCCAGACAAATTTTGTAATTTCATCGCGCGCACGCGCGTCACACGGGCCATCGAGACCACTCTATGAAATGCAATCCGTGTTTTCGTCTGCATCCTGCGGGACAGGCTCTCACGACACGAGACAGTTCACGCGTGGAAACGGGACAAATTGGCTGGCGCGTACATTAGACGATAAATCACCATATTTCATTTTATTTTATCCTTTTCCTACCTGGGAAAATCTAGGCCCGTATTTCCGACTGTTGTCTCGCTTTCTCGTTTGCCTCGCTAACAAGAAGTCTGCGTGCATATTACACAATGAGTCTTGGCGATTTACTTAACGAACTGCCACTTTATGTGAGTTACGAAATGCTCGATTTTATAATATCTCTGAATATATCATCAGTTAATATTGGTGATAATATTTTTAATGAATACCGACGTTTGCCTGCTTTTGCACAAATTCTGATTAGACAGTATTTTTAAAAATGTTTTAATATCTGTATTAAAGATTGATTAGCAAATAGTAACTCATTTAAATATCATGTCTTTATTCTAATTAATTAATAATAGTAATCAAACAAGTATTATTATTATCTTTTGAAAAGGTAAAGAGACTATTTTTTAATGTAAAAAGATTTTGATAATTTTTGAAGATTATTATTGTTATGCACATTAAATCTTTGAAAAAGTATTTTAATTATATAAAAATAGTATTAATGTATATTAATTAACTATTAAATAAAATTTTCATACATTGGATTTTTATGCGTGCGCGTATCTGATGAGAATTCGAGTTGATGTTCGGAGGGCGACGCGAAGCTATAAAAAAAAACTACCCCCGGGATAAATCCCGGGAAGATGAGCGTTACGCTCGTCGTCCGCATAACGTGACACCGAGATGCCTCCTTTTATCCGTGGTCGCGCACGCGCCAAGGCATCGTAACTATTCCGCACGTTGTAACTACGGTCGAATGTCTCCGGGATAAATTCCAAGGAAATTGTTCCGCCCAGAGAAAGACGAATAGTTCTGTTTGTCCACGAATTTCGAGCCGTTCTGTTCGCCAGCGCGAACCTCACCGCACCTCTTTCCGTCTCTCGCCCGTTTATGGGTCAGAAACTTGTTTCAACATCGGCCGTAAGACGTAACGCGATGCGGCGTCGCATCGCGGCTCGGCGCGGCCCAGGACACCCCCTTGACCCTTATTTGCAGCTCGGAATCCCAAAACAACTGAAGCATCCTCGTATGCCGCAGAGTTGCCGGCAGATATTCGCTCAAAAGTTTTCGCGTAATTGCGCGGAGATGGAAGTGCGCCGGGAAAGCGAGGAAGCAAGAGAGAGAGAGAGAGAGAGAGAGAGAGAGAGAGAGAGAGAGAGAGAGAGAGAGAGAGAGAGAGAGAGAGAGAGAGAGAGAGAGAGAGAGAGAGGAGAGAGAGAG